GGGGGCAGAAGAGAGCGAGGCGGAATGAGGATGTGGTGACGGGGACGCACAGAGACGGGGAGCATCCTGAGGACAGAAGGAGCGGTGGCGGGGACGGGGAAAGTAACGTGGATGGGACGGGTGTGCAGAAGAGGGAGGAATTCGGCGGGGAGAGGCGCTCGCTTTAGCTTTTATAATAAAATGTATATTAATATCTTCCGTCAAAACGATAACTCATTTCATGTTATATGGCGTCTCAGCTCTCAGGATAGCAATGTTTTGGACAAAAGACAAAGTGATAGCGTCAATTGTGATAGCGTCCTGGAGTCAGGGACAATTATGTTTTTATATGTCATTAAAAAGGAATAACATTATAAAAATATTATCATTTATTTACACAAATTAACAATTATCAGAACGTACATGCAGAAAATACGACAAATAAATCGACAAAATTTTAAAGTTTCAAATAACACAACGAAAGAAAAAAACATTAAATATCTTCCGTCCTGAATCACGTTTGTAATTAATATTCTTTTTTGTCATAATACAATAGTACCAAACAATAACAACAATGTTTGCTTTAGAAGATATACCATTCCAAGAATTTCTTTGTTTGAGCTATTTCTTACTTTCATGCGATTCCTTGGCTGCAAACACCGTTCAAGAGACAGACTGTATCGGCGAGGAAATATTTAGATAGAATGATACAAGGATTTTATTCAAAATGTATTTTTTCATTAGTTTTATAATTTTTGACATCACTTAACCTAATGAAAGCAATGCTCCTTTCTTTTGCTTTCTATCCATTTACATACAACAATAGTTTCGCAAGAATTTTGGGACTGAGCACCTTGCTCATTTTTGGAAACAGGTTTTATTATTGGGAATGACAGATTTCCTTAATCTGTGTTCCTTAAAACCAATATTTTCTACAATAACTGTTGTATAAAACTCATTAATATTCTGTAAATTAGTGACTTTAAAAAAAATTAAAGTGAATAAGCGTAATTGGAAGAAAGTTATCTGTCAAATTCTCTATATACTTGGGAAATGTAAAACGAGAACTCAATAATTTCAATGGGGTAGATAAATTATTTGTGCAATGTATTTTTTATGAAGTTTCCATGTAATTTTCTAAAAATGATTAACAGTATTTATTTACTGAGCATGCCTAAATAGATTGCTATTCAGCAGTATTACCGAGGTACAGAACATTAATCCGGACCGTAAAATAGATAAAAACTTAAATTGTACCCCGAAAAACATTGCCAAATTCCAACGACGTCCAATAATCTTTCTTCGTCGAAGGAAAGTTTGACAACTATAAGCTATCAAAAATAAAAGTATTCCACTAAAATTGCAAAATATGGAGATAATGGAGGCAAGACTTTTATATTTGCACAAATTTATTGGTCTGAGTTGGGTAATGAAGCAGAATGCTGGGAAATCCGTTCATTATCCTTAAAAGACTTCCCATTGCACATTTTAAATTCTTCCGAAAGGAACGCATTTGTGACACCGAAGAATTATACTCTTTCTAAGCTACGCTCATGAAACATGGAGCTCAAAATGAAATCCTTCTTGCGGGAATGTGGAATTTTGTTAAATTTTAAGAGATTCGGTCACGATTGAACATACTGTCTCATCTAAAATGAACGTGCTGCCTGGAAATGCAGAAATACGGCTTCGTAAATTTTAATGCCACTTTCTGACCACGATAATTAACACCGGGACACAGAAAATTCATAGCAGAAGAGGCTCAAATCATGACTACACACTTTTATTACTCGTTATAGCCGGACTTATAATGAGATGAACTCCGTAGGACGGATACACAAATGTCAGGTATTTTCCACATAAAGTAAATATATTTATGTCTCCATTTCGGAATGTACTTTCACACAGTATAGAACTTGTTTCACACGCATTAAAAGAGACAATGACGTCAGCCTAGTAAGTGACTTTCCTTGAGAAGTTATTTAAAGTCTTCTTCCTTACTTAATGTCGAGAAATCCACCAGTATCTCTATCAGTCGAAGAGCTTTTCTGAAAATAATGCGCTAAAAATTGGAGCAAACGTGATACGTATATACTATACATTTGAGTGAATTGAGTCGGTATACCTTACACAAGTAGCTGATTTTATAATTTCCATATCTAAATATTATTTCATTAAGACTTTTTCATTCTGTATTGAAAGACGAAGAAGATTCTAAGAAAATAAATCCTTTTTTTCTCGAAAAATAAAAAAAGGAATATCGTGGAGATGCGTATTCACATATATTAACCAAGACCTAAGTCATATTTCAATCTGTGCTAGCCACATTAGAACTTCAAAATATCTCGGTACTTACCTGTATGAAGGAAGAGATGATTCTTGAGGTTGGTGTGTTTGGAAAAGCCCCTGTTGCAAATGTGACACTTGAAGGGCCAAGAACCGTTGTGGACGTACATATGAGACTTGAGGTCTCCAGGCGTCGGAAAGGACTTCGCACACAAGCCGCACTTATGAGGTTTCTCCTGAAACACGACAATGCTATAAGCAAAGAGCAATGGCCAAAGAAATCACATACATGTCTGGATATTTAGGCCACAATGAATTAAGTTCATGAATCTAATTTTCTGGGCAATAAAATGTTCAAAAATGGCAGATCTTGGAAATATAATAGATATATACAAACATATAATAGAAAAAAGACATTCAATCAAAATATATAAAAGAGTCTTTCCATTGAAATATATAAAAGACGGCTTTCAATTAAAATAAACTCATACAAACAGTTCTACTATAAAAACAGTTCGGAAAATATTTGTGAAATACAATCTCTGAAGTGAAACACTGCCGCTGCGTAAAACGTGGATAATTCTCCTACGCGAAAAAGCAGCCGCAGTTTTTCCAATTTTGGAATCCTGATGCTGCAGCAAAGGCAAAGAATAATGATTGATTGATTGATTGATTGATTGATGATTTCTTGTATCTGGGTGCGTCAACTATTGTCAATATCCCATAAATGTAGCGCATGCTATATCTCTGAGTCCCTCTCCGTTGAAAAGTGAGATCCGGCGATACATAAACGTAAACTTGAAAGGTTCCCTTCATGGTATCTCCGCTGGCTATGCAGTACCTAGTGGTGAAAGTCCACCACCATCGAAACTTTAATGATAGGGTCTCCCGGCCAGAAACGCTGCAATGTCTACAGCTGTTGCAGTTAACGATCCCAGTAGAGGAAGAGTTGGAAATGAAATGTTGAAGATCATTTAATGCCAACCAACACATCGTTTTATACAGAGAAATAAATGCGTTTTGGAACACCTATTAACAAGATATAGTATTTTATTTGATGTAGTGGGCTGTTGAGGGACAGATCAAAGAAAAACGATGAAGAAATAGTCCAAAAGGATAAGAGCGCGATAGGGGTTGAGTCAAAAGTGCTATGTCTGTTTGTTAAAGAAAGATTTTATATTCATTTAATGCGAATTGTCAAAGGAGTTTGTATGGATATATCATAAAATGGGCACCTACGTACACAAGCCTACCCTGTATGGAATTCAAACGAGTCTCTTCAAAACCACAATTACACTTACTAAATACACGCACGTCCAAATCATGAGCCAAAACCATATATCTCATTCCGTCGTCGCCGCCCTTCCCTCCGTCCTCGCGAGCCCGTCCTCCCTGTCCTCCCTTCCGTCCTCATCCATCGCCACGTATTTGCCGACAACCGCCACTCGTTTTGAACAAAACTTGCACGATAACTAAGCATTACACGTTGCTATCTCCCCAAGAACGTCGGGCGTCTGGGCAAACAAGCCAGCAACAGCAGCATTTGAACGCGGTATTCCGCAATTGAGCGAAATCGCGACTTGGCTGCGCTGCACGAGGCCCCCCACCTCCGGACAAACCCCTGGCGGGGAGGGGGGGCGCGACACTGCGATCCCCTCGTGCCGTGCCAGTGCCGCCCTCGTGCCGCCCACCTGGCGACTACTCGCTTTATACGCTTGCCCTAAGCAGCGCGCTTCCTTTGACGTGAGGGATGCGGAGTTAGGCGGTGCGCGACGCGGTGCAACTCAGCGGAAGGAGTTGGCTTCTTACGACCGGCCGTTTGCGGCCGTTGCCGAGGGTGGGCGGGGTGGGGTGAAGCTGGGGCGGACCTCTTTGTTTCTTGTCTCCGCTTGCAGTTGCTTCGCCACGTGACAGGTGTTTGGGGAGTAGTGGAACTACCCTCTTAATCTGTCGGTGGCCCGCTGAAATAGAAACTGTTCGTAGTTGTTAGGGTTGTTTGTACTGTTTTCCGAAGAGATACTGGAACGTTAAATGTCTTAAAATATGTCTCCCATGGCGTGTTTATTTCCTTGAGTAAGAGAAGTTTATTATATTTACATTAAGTCTCATTTCATAGAATAAATAAACGACGTTTCATTTCCTACTTCTAACGTAATATACAAAGCTCACTTTGCCTGTTTACATTCATTTTACTACAATTACTGTATCCACTAGTGAAAATTCAACCCTACCGCCTTTAATAACGATTTAGAGAAAATTCTGCGTATCGTTTATTTTGTTAGATTTGCTACAAATGTTTGGCTGTTAGATCTCCACCTTTTGTAGTGTACCACAATAAGCCTCCTTTCTGCCTCCAGGTAATTCCCGCTCCGCCTTCGCGTTTCTCCTCCTCTCTTCCTCCTCCTTTCCTGCCCTTCCTGGCGGGCGACTTACACCTGTTTTGCATTCCCTTTGCCGCCGTCGACGGGACACTTCAGCGCTTGCCTGCAAGTTGTCTTGTATTTCCTCTCACAATTCTCAATTAGCAGTGGCGGCGCGTTAGTTTTAATATGGTCGGGGCATTCAGAAAGGGTGACGAAATGAATTCTTAATATTTACATTTATATTGTGGTGTGTATTAGGTCTACCATTTTATCCTGCATACCGCATTCTGAATCCACTGAAACCTAAAGTTTGTTTCCTTAATGAGATCTCATTAGCCAGCTCGTTTTTCCCTTTGCTGCTCGTGCTTAAGATGGTTTATTTGAACACTGGGCAGCTCTCATTTGCTGACTTGAGGCATCATTTCCTTTGATATGTTTGCATATGGCAGCCAAAGGAGCATTACACAATCAGACGTCGGGTTCAACGCCTGTATAGTTTATGCATAGGCGCGCTGATCCCTGCCGCGATGGAACCATAAACGAGAATACGGAAAACTCCGGCGCTACACCAACTATATCCACACTGCGTTCTCATATTTCCCTATTGCCGCTCCCCTGTGGTCCATCTTGTTAGAGCTGTTGCGACCCGTGTAAGCCACGGCCTTGTCTTTGTCGGTTTCTCCGTGCGTCATTCACTTCGTTTTCTTCTTTCCGCCCTTTGTATTTCGTTCCTACCCACTCCGCCCTCCTGTATTGTCTCCAGTTTATCATTCATCTGTGTGGTTGCTCGCCATGACTGCCGCAGTCCCACTGCGCCCCGTCCGCCGCCCGGTCTTCCTCCCCGCTTCTCCCCGTTCCTCCCCGCTCCACCCGCGGCGCCAACGTCGCGGGCCGGGACCAGCTATTTGTTCTCGAGCGCATTATGCAGTCGCTATCCGCCCCCCGCCGATTGATGGATTCCGGATGGCTGACAACTGCTCGTCACTCTGTCGCGCACGCGGCGGGCGGCGGGGCGGCGGGCGGGGCGCGGGCGGAGGCCGGCAGCGGGTGCCTTGCCGTTCAATACAGCGGCTGTACTCTCCTTTACCTGCGGCTCGTCTGCCGGCGTTGAGGCGGCTTGTTACAGGCATCTGTCGGCGAGCGCGGACGCGCGGGGGACGAATTTAATGGCCGATCAGGATGATTTGCATTCTTTTGTAATAATGGCTACACGAAGGGCCGGCGCTCCCGTGCCCGCCGCAGCCGCCGCCCGTAAAACTTATGATCCGGCTCGGATGGCCAGCGCAGAGCACCAATGGCCCGACCGGGGACATCATCATTACACCCGCCCCCGCCCTCTTCTCCCGCCCCCAGCCCTGCCGCGACCGCCCCCCCCCGTGTGCTCGCGGGGGGGGGATACCTCTTGCCACGCCCCGCGCGCCCTTCCCCCCCCCCCCACGCCCGCCTCCGCGCTGCGCTAGCTGCGGAGAATTAGTATGATGTTGCCGTAATGGTCGGGGGGTTCTGGAACACGGACGCGGCTAACCCAGACGTCTGCTTTTGGGACATTTCGAAACATTTTGGCGGGAGACAGCCAACAAGTGCAGTGCGGGACAATTTACGCTGCAGCCGCGGGCCAGACAATTGAACGGCCGGACGTGAATCCAATTGGAAATAGCAGCAATTGGGAACTTGGCCTCGTGCCTTGCCGCGTTTGACCGTCTGTTGTCGTGGAAATTCAAAGAAGCGGGCAACATTCCAACTACGCTCGTAGATATGCGGTGAAAATTGTATGTAATTAATTAATGCTTTAATGTTTATCAGTTAATGTCGAAGAAGCGATCTTTATCAACGTTTTTCATCTTTTCGGTATTAATGGTTGAAAGTTTCAAATCGCGTACTTGTATTGAATGAATTTGTATTAAGTAATTACGGGCATTTCTAAATGCTATATCGTATAACTAGAAATTTACTTTTTTATAATTGATCCTGAATATATTCATAGTATTTTCATATTTTTTATGGTGCTATATACTGTGTTTTACCATTAACACATTCAAGAAGGTGCTAGATGGAATTTGATAATTTACCCATAATAATAATAAATTAATAATAATAAAATAATAATAGGAATAATGTATATAATATGCAAAAGACGGTATTTTGAATACATGCCGTATTGTCAGAAGCCATCTGAACCTCAGTGAAAGCAACCACACTACCTGGTCATCATACCTGTGGTGTGTTGAACATACCGGACCAGTAGATACTGTGAATAATGTAAGGACATAATAATAATATTAAATAAACAATAATAATAACAATAATAATACAATTAATAATTAAGAATAATAATAACAACAATAATAAGAATAATAATAACAACAATAATAATACATAATAATAATAATAATAAATAATAATAATTAATAATAATAAATTTATTTAGTATTAAATCAGAATTGTTAATTTCTTTTATGATTATGGAGACTAGAATTTTCATTTACGATTCTTGGGGTATACAATTGCCAAACCGATACCAATTCTGGACCATTTTATTTCCTTTGTAAATTATTGCACCCTGCTTGCATGAAGTGTTTCATAAATAGACACGTAACATCAGTTCCTAGCTCAGGTTCCTCAAACCAATAAATTTGATACAGCCTTTTTATCCGACCCACGCAATTTTCCATTTAGTGGCTTGAAAAAGAATGAATGAATATCATTTTGAAATGTGTTTATAGAATATGTTTCATCATCTTGCATTTCTCCCAGTACCTTTGTTTTACCGGTTAATTCATGATTGAATTTTAATGGAAATTTGCTCCGAGGGAAATCCCGGACTAGAATTTATTGAATACTTTGCTGACGAAGTCCAATAACTGAATTCGTG